ACTGGCCTTGGAAGCAGAAGGGCCCTGCCTGCCTAACCATGGCTTCAAACCCAATGCTTTTGTCCACGGGGCCACAGCTGTTTCCTGATAACACAGGGAAGGGGGAGAAAAAAAAAACCACCCTGTTATTTTCCTAGCTTAGAAGTTGTTTTTATTGCTATTAGCAGCACCAGCCTGGGGGAATTAGTTACCCAGGTGAGGCTCTGCCTCAGAGCTGTGTTTCTCGTTCTGCCTGCCGTGGTGGGAGAGCTGCAGGTTCTTGGAGAGACAGACTGGGAAGGTGTTTGGCCAACCCTCGCTCCAGCAGCTCCTCTGAGGTGTTCCTCAACATATGGCAGGAGCACCCACTCACTCCTCAGAGGATGGGAACACACATCCCTGTGCCAGGGACAGCAGGAAAACAGGCAGAGCGTGTTTAACTTTCTTTCCTGCTGATTCCTGTGTGCAGCTTCACTTCCTTTTTTTGTGTGGAAGGTCTCAAATTAACACCTCAAAGAGCTGCACTGGCCTGACTCACACCCCTCTGGATGGTACAGATCAGTCTTGCACTTAAAACAGCTTTACAACAATGATAAGATTTTTTTTTTTTCATAGAGGAATAGATATTTTTATGACACATTTCTCTATTCTAACCCTCTTTCAGCACAGGCACCAACAGCTCAGTGTTGAAGACACCAAGGGCAGGGACCTCAAGGAGCAGAAAAAGAAGAATTTTACATTTAAATCTGTGATAAAACCTGATAAAGTAATAATATCTCTTCCTCTAAAGCACCTGCAAGGTGCTGAAACCTAAAGGTATTTGAACAGGCTTGATTTGTCCTAATCAATTTGAGTTGACTCAAAATCAGTTCCAGTCAATGGATATCATTTCAGTACTTTTGATTAACTGTGGATTAGGTCTCTATTATAACAAAAACTTATATTTCCTTAATTATAACTGTAAATGTAGACTTAATTCTTGCTGCAGGTTTCTAGGTGTGGCAGTTGCATGAATAAATACATAAATACACTAATTTAGATATATAAAATGGCATAAAACACTACCAGGATCTTCACATATCATTGACTCTTTCTAAAAGTCCTGAGCTGAGTCATTCAAACTTTTCCACTTTGGGGAAAATTCCAACTAATGCATTCAACAGGTGGCAAAGTTTTTACCTTCAAATTTTTAATTAAAAATGTCTTGGACCTTCATTATGATTTCTGTGTTAAATTATTATTTAAAAATTGACATTTATAATACACAAAGTGTATTTCATGAGGATCGTGGCTAGCAAGAGACTTACATAAAATTAGATAAATCCTTCCATTTTTGGGAATTCTGAATATGATTTGAAAGTCCTTCAACTCAGAGATAAATCCATCCTTTAGAACTCAACACTCTCCAGCCATGGTTTATAATTTCAGGAACTTTAGTGCATACATTGCATGTCATCACTGTCACTTCTGGTCACCCTGGTGCCACCTGATTTTTCCTTTCATGTCCATATATATCATGTTCTCGAAATAAGTTGATAATCCACCTAAGAATCAAAAAACCCCAGATTTGTTTTCAGCTCTTTTGGCTTCTCTTGGTACAAGATGCTCTCCTGGTCCCCTGGGATTATCCTAAAAATGAAAGGCTCTCCCCAGGCAGAGTGGAATGTAAAATAAATACTGTTCTGGATAAAACAACTTCCAGAGCAATTTTACCATGTTCCTGCACACTCAATATCCAATAAGCAGACCCACATTTTGGCAACATGAGCTTTAATCTGGAAAAATCACATCCAAACTGCCTGAGTGGCCTTCAAAGAGCAAGAGGACAAATAAAAACAAACACACAAACCGAGCTGAGAGTTGTCAACACCAGTCACCAAAACAAAAAGCTGGGAGCTCCGGCCCCCCCAGCCAAAATCAGCCACCTACCTGTGTAAATGAACCTGCCTGGTGCACCTTTGCAGAACTGTTTGGATTTGTAGGATAATGTCACCTCGACCACGCCGGGAATGTGCCGGGGAGGCGTCTGGACTCGGATGGCGTGAGGGGTGATGAGCTGGAACAGCACCAGGAGAGGCACAGTCAGGTGTTTGTGTCACCCCTTTACTTTGTGAGTAAATAACAGAATAATATCCTGGAAATGACCTTTAAAGACCACCCAGTGCCACCCCCTGCCACGGGCAGGGACACCTTCCCCTGGCCCAGGTTGCTCCAACCTGGCCTTGGACGCTTCCAGGGATGGAGCAGCCACAGCTTCTCTGGGCAACCTGTGCCAGGGCCTGCCCACCCTCATCCTAAAAAATGCCTTCCTTAATCCCTCTTTCATTTTAAAACCATTACCCCTGGTTCTGCCATCACAGGCCTGAGTTAAAAGTCTTTATTCCTGTGCAGGAGACACAAAGTGACACATCTGCTCCAGTTCCTTGCCTTCAGGAGAAGAAGACACATTTTAGGATGAAATCTCATCAGGAAACTTGTACTGTTAAGCCCATTGGTTAAATGCTGGCTTATCCTGGACCCAGAGGGAATTCTTTCTTTATTTCTCTCCCTTTACCTGTCTCCAGATGCCCGGAATTGTTCAGTCCCATTCTGGCTCCAATAAGATCCCACAGCAAGGAAAACACGTTCCCCGAATTCCCCCCCCCCACGGGTTAGCACGGCCTGCTTTCCACCCCACCACTCCTGGAACAGGGATCACCACTGTCCCTCCTCGGGGAAGGGCTTTTCCTACCCACCTCACTCCACACCAGCATGGTCCCAAAGACCACCTGCAGCCCATCGAAGAAGTTGTCCCCGATGATGATGACCATGGCCCCGCCCGTGGTCCACCCTTCGCTGGGGCTGATGGCTTTGATGCAGGGGGTGGCTGAACAGAGCACAGAGGACAGCAGAGCATCACGTTAGGAGGGCTTTGAGTTTGGTTTTTTGTTTTTTTTTTCTTTTCCCCCAACAGCTGTTTGGAACACTGGGTGTAAATCCTTGGAGCGGAACGGTGAAATCCTGTGAGCCTCAGGAGCAGCTTCACCTGTCCACACCCGGGAATTTCTGAATTCCCAGGGCTGGCAAAGGCCTAGGACAAGTCCTCTCCAACCATTCACCCATGGAGGCTGCTTCACCCTTCCACAAACCCCAGCAAATAAATAATAAATAAATGAATGAATGAATAAAAGCGTGTTTTCTGCCTTGCAAGTGTTAATTACTTGCCTATTCATTACTGGCACTTAACATGGTGTCATTAAAGCCTAATAGGCCAACTGTAGTGAGTGTAAAAATGAAATGCTTAAATGATTGTGCAGAGGCTGTTTAAGAAAAAAAAAACCCAACCCAGCACCCACTCATTAACATGTGATCCCACAAAAACAAACCCTGTGGAAAAAATACAAAAGGCAGAGTCAGATTTGTTAAATTTATCAATGGGTGAAAAAAGATATGGGAATATCAAATGTCTCCTCCAATTCCTATCAGGAGACAATGTCTAATCACTTTCTTGATTTTATAGAGCAGATTTTTTTCCCCTTCTCTCTTCCATATGTTCAAGGCCTCTGGACTATACGTCCCATCAGGAACCCAATATGGTTTCCAGGCCATAACCAAAGTCAATCCATCACTCCATTCCCAATGTTGACAGGGTCAGAGGTGGAGGGGAACTTTGGCAGTGCTCCAAAAACATGAGACCCCTTTGAACAGCCAGTCAATCACATCCAATCAGTCAAGGAAAAACTGGATGGCTTCCTAGGCTAGGAATCCTGGGATTTTCCTTCTACCATTTCACTGCCCGCTGGGGGAGAATTAACACCACTCTGAATTCTTTACTGATTCAATCATTTTCTTCCAGTTCATTAATTCTTCTTTTAGGTTGATACAGGGCACAGTTAAGAAGTGGGGCAGCAAAACATTATAATGAAATAATATCCTTGCTTGTCTTTTCTACTAACATCACCAGCTCTTCTCACTTTCCCTGGCTGCAGGGGAGGGAGAAGCAGACACAAGATAGCATTTTCCAGTAATTTGGAGCGTGAGGGAGGTGGAATGTGTCAGGAATGAACATACAGGGAGAGGGAGAGGAGGGGCATTTTTTTTTGAGGCTTAGCAGATACGAGGGTTTGCAATTGCTTTAATACAGTCCCCAACCCATCCTGCAGCAGGCCATGAGCCTGGCTTAGCCAAACAAACTCCCATCAATTAGTGTCAGCTCCCTCTGTGCATCGTTCTGCTCCGTGCAGAGTTTGTTTAAGGGAACCAGTGACACTTTTTCATACACATCTTGTGCTGCGGCGGCTCTGTTTAACTAAGATGTCATGTTGCCTAATTTGCCTGAAATCAAATCTATCCCAGCTGAATGAGAAGGCTGAAATTTCGATGGTGCTCGGTGTTTTCTGTGTTTTTCATCTTTGCAGCACATACTAATTAATAAATTGGAGGGGGAGGGGGAGCCAGTCTCTTAGATGTGAAGAGGAGCATATTTTGCATGCACAGACACTGTTTTCCTGCCTCTTCCTTCTCTAAACCCCCTGAGGGTCTGCAGTTCCCCCTTGGCTCCCCTTCCCTCCTCAAAACAAATAGAAGCTGAAGAATGGGGGAGATGTTTTTGCATTCATTCGTGCTCTGCTCTCCAGACAAATATCCCACCTTCTGAGGGGTCGAGTCTCCTCGCTCTCCGTCCGTGCTTGGAGTTGTTGTGAACAAACATGTTGTCAGACACTGCCAGCACGTGCCCATCAACGTTCACTGTTGTTGATAGCACAACCTGGATGTCGAGAAAGGGAAGGAAAAGGAGGCAGGTGAACAATTTGCTTCCAGATTTGCCTTCTTAAGCGTTAATTATTCAGTTTGGCCAAAGCCCCCCTCGGTTTGGAAAACAGCACCACGTCCTGCAGGGTTTTGCTCCCTGGCAGGAAGGGGAGGAAATATTTTCAGCCTTCATTCTGGGCATTAATTCCATTTAACACAGCATCCTGAGGGCCATATAAAGGCCTGGCTGTATAATGAACCAGCCACTGCAGATGGCCCTACATTCAGTTGCTGAGGTGCATTGTGGCATTGCTGATGGCAGAGAGGGCTGTGTACACCAGGCACGGGGCAGGCTCAGAGCAGCCCAGCAATGTGCCCTGGGATCCTCCTGCAGGCTCCCAGCCATCTGCTTCTGGCACACTCATGCAAATGGCCCTGCATCTGCCTGGAGACCAGGCTCCACTGCCTGCAGCTCCATGAAAACCAACTAAAACCTGCTGCTGACATATCAGTGCCTCCTGAAAATCATCTGAGCCCGAGGACTCCAACTCAAGCAGCAGTTTTTAAGCCTCAGCCCCCATGACTGGGCTCCAGTAGCATTTGAATTCTTAGAGGAAGTAACTGTATATGCTAATTAATCCTACTTTAGTTTTTACAATATCCAAAGCTCTAAATCCCCATCAATCCAGAAATAATATAGTGCACCCTTAAACCACAAACTTTTAGGAAATATGAACAAACCATGGTTCAGCTCCTGAAAGAAGAGGTATCTTATTGAAACATTCAAGTTTGGACCATCAGTTGGTGTAAATCAGCTCAATGGTGTAAATCAGTTTATGCCACTACACACCTAGAGAAAGTCAGAGCTATGGAAAATCAAACCCTGGATGAGTTCATGGATTTTCAGAGACAGCTGTCATAGTCCAGGTAAGAGAATGTCAGGCTCCAGTTGCTGATAAAACTCTATTCAGCATACAGAGGAGAAACCTTGCCCTCCCCGGGATTGTGAGAGCTTGAAGAACACTTTCTTTCTTGAGACAACTTTAATTCATTCCAAAAGGCTCTTGTCATGCTGTACTCTTATACTTCTCAAGCATTCTTGTCACAAAATGTGTTGCTTTTGTGTGCCAACTGATTTCCTCATTGCACATTAGGGTGGAGTGTGTCTCTGTCCAAAGGGAACGTTTCCCGCATGACATCGCTGAGCCCACTCAGATGCACTTCATTATTTTCCCTTAAACAATGGAAATAAATTTTAATCTCTCACTGGCCAGCGCTGTGGCAACAGGGGAATAGCCCTGAATTATTCCAGTGTCTGAAATATTTACGACAAGTGTTTAAATTGTAACCAAATGTAAATAAAAAGTGATCGCATCCATACAGTTACCCCGTGTAATATACAGGGGTCTGAACTCACCCACACGAGGTTCTGTGTGATAAATACACACCCACACGCTCTCAGGATGAGAGACTGAGAATATAGGCAGACCCTGAGTGTACACATATAGAAGAGAATTGTAGAACATCCTGAGCTGGAAGGGACCCCCAAGGATCATCCATCCCACTCCTGGCCCTGCACAGACACCCCAAAATCCCACCCTGTCCCTGGGAGCATTGTCCAAACTCTCCTGGAGTTCTGGCAGCCTTGGGGCAGTGACCAAACCCTGGGGATCCTGTTCAGTGCCCAATCACCCTCTGGGGAAAGAAACTTTCCCTACTGTCCCTCCTAAACCAGCCCTGACAGAGCTCCAGCCATTCCAGGGTCCTGTCCCTGCTCCCAGAGAGCAGAGATCAGTGTCTGAATAATCATTTGGGTGTAAATGTTGTGCAAAACACAAGACCCACATTTTGGTAAGAGATGTAGAGATCCCCAGAGCCTGAGCAGTCCAGAAGACGAGTGCTGAGCATCCAGCAGGAATGGAAGATGCACTTCCAGACCTCTGTCCACGTGTGGCTCCGTTTGGATTCACCTCTCCCACTCCTCACAGGAGGCTCAGAGCCACTTGGAACGGCACAGGGACGGGATGAGTGCAAAGTTCAGATCTGAACCCAAAGTTTTGGCTCTTCTTTGCAGTCCTCTCCAAGGTCCTGCCTGCTGAAATCCAGCAGAGCCCTTTGTCATGGCCACAACACCTCTGCCCAACTCATCACCAGTGGTGGGGAGTGAGAGCTGTGAGACTGTGGGCACAAAAAGGGCTGAACTTCACTTTGCTCCAGCCATTCCCTCCTGCCTGGTGGAGATCACGACACAATAGCTTCATACTGAAGATTAAAAAACAATGTTTTATGGATAAAAGGAAGAGGAATGTGCATTCCACTATGGTCTCTAACTCCCAGGCCCTTCCCTCTCACAAGCCAACCGCTTTCCCCCAGTGAGTATTTCCTGGGTCACGAAGGGTGACCCCTTCCATCTGGAATCAATCAGTCAACTCCTGACAACTTCCTGAAACACCTCACTCCATTTCCTGTTCTCTCCCCCTTCCCTCTTTCCCCCTGGTTTGCTTCACTCTTCAAAACTGCAGGCCACAGCAGCTTAATGTTAGAGGGTCAGACACAGTTAGACTCCAAAACACTACACAAGAACACCTTTGACCTTCAAAAATCTTTACATCTTAGCTAAACAAATCAAGGTCAACGTTTCTTACCATTACCTTGTTAACCATTTCTGTGCATTTTTGCCAAAACCCTTCTGAACACGTATTTATCAATAACACTTGTTCTCCCAACGTCGTAAACCAGTCCAAGCCCCTTGTTTTAAGGTCCCTGTGTTTAGTGCCGATGAAAGGTGATGTGCAAACTTCCCTGGAGGCTTAAATTCTCACTTTTGCCCGCAGCAAATCGCTGGCAAACGGCTTTGGTGGGTTTTTCTTTCCCTGCTCTGGTGGCACCACTGCTTGGGTATGAAAATTTGGCGCCTTTGCCTGTTCAGTTGAGGGGCTTTTCTCTAAAATCAGTGGTTAATGGAAAAGTTAACCCTAAGGGAATGATCTGAGAGCAACAAAACACGTCAGCTAGGCCATGGATTCTGGTCATTGCAGCCAAATTTGGACACAAACAGCTCAAAGACTGAATATTTTGTGCCACCTGGGTCAAACAGCTCTGCTGGAGTTTCAGAGGACAACCAAGCGAGAAGCAGAGAGGGCAATGTGCTGTTCCTGTGTCCTTCCAAACACAGATCCCACCTCCAGGAGCACAGAGGCACTTCCAGTGCTCCACGTGTGTTCTCAGCAGCCCTGAAGTCCTCTCTGCCAACCTGCAGGGTCCTGCTCTCAGCAGCCCCAGACCCAAAGCAACGATGCCCCAGCAGTCCTGGAGAAATGCCTGTGCTGGATCTGCCCATTATTGTGTCTCCCAGGTGGATTTGGGTGGGGCAACCCCTGCTCAGAAGCCCCGAGGAGGGTTCACCCCCCATGACACGCAGACAAACCACCTTCAGAACATTAAACTGGGGCTCTCTGAGCTGCACTGCCCCTCCTTCACCTCCCTACACAGCTCAGGGGGTTGGATTTCTCTGCAAACCTTCACCTGGACACTGCAAATTTCCCTCCCCCACCTACACACTGTCCCAGTATTTCCATATTCTAATGGGTGCTCCTCTTCAGATCCCAGATATGCAAATAAATACAACTCCCCGTGTATTCTAAAGCTGTATCAGTCACAGACACCTATTTAGACATATGGTGCAAACATTCCAGGCATACAGGCATTGACTTACATGTAACATATCTCATCACTGTGTAAATGATCTCTCTCAAAAAATTCCTGTTACCATTCCAAGTGTGGAAAAAATTCTTTATGACATTGTACATCTGGAAACAATATTACATTCCTGATGCACTTTCCCTTGTAACTCTCCCCAGTCGCAGCACCATGTTATTTTAACTTTAAAAAACAAAACAAAACAAAACAAAAAAAACCCCAAAAAACTACTATGAGGATTAAAAAAATGATCATCCTTATTATTATTATTTTCCAGCTGAGTGGAAGGAAAGATGTCAGGCCTCATCCTGCTGCCTGCACTTGGACAGGGCTGCCATTGATGTCAACAGGCTTTTTGGTTGAGGGAGTAATTCAGGAGTAGAGCCTGGATGTGATGTGTTTGCTTCATAGTTGGATTAGGAATAAGATAAACAAGGTGGAAAACGCCAGCAGAGCCTCTCTCTGCTCCAAACTTCCATTGAATTCTTTGGGAAATCCTCCCTGAGCCCCCTGAGCCTGCTGCCAACAGGACAAAGTGTGCACGTGGCCTTCATTGCAGGCTGGGGTCTCCAAAGTTTCTGGGACACAGGGTTAGGAGACAGATCCTGGGTCACTGCCACCTTGTCTCCTGCTGCCACAGACACCCCAACCACGGAGCTGCTTTTAGAAAGCCATTCTCCACCATTTGGAGCTTTTGCCTCTGACACTCCTCTTGTTTTAGAGCCTCCTCGTCCTGGGGCTTGGGGCATTTCTGGTTTACAGCCTAAATTCCTTCCTGGTCACTTTATATTTAACAGCAGCTTCAAAATTCCTCTTTCCCATCCTGACCTACCTGAGGATCTTTTCAGAGAGCAGCTCCATCCCTTCTCAGTGCATGTCCCTGGAGCCCAGCTCTTGTCCAGCCCCTCTCACCTCAAGGACCATTCCTGCAGCTGCTCCAATGGCACTTTTATTCTCTTGTACTATGGTTACACCAGGATATTGGATCCAACAGGGAATCAGTGGGGTACAATGGTACAGATGCACCCTCCCTTCTCCTGGCAGGATGGGACACAGTGGATCTCCTCTCTGGTTTGTTTTTAATGGATGAGGCACAGCTCTGGGAACTCACTGTCCCAGTGGCTATTTGGGCTGCAGATCTGAGCAAATTTAGCTCCTTGAGTGCTTTTTCTCTCACAGCTGAGTCAGTCCTTCCCTTCCTCATACAGAATCTAAAATAACAGCACCTTCTCTTGGGTCAGTCACCACCTGATGAACGAATTTGCCCCCCAGCCCAGGCCCTGCTGATACCAGCTGCGTGTATTTTGGGATCTATAC